TAAAAACCTCCCTTCCCCGTTTGCCTTTAAAAGCAAGTGCTTGTGTGATAATAAACGGAACTGCTCAACAGAACCCCTGCTGCGTCTGAGTGTCCTTTAACAGGCTGGTTGGGCTGGCGGCTGTGCTCACCTCTCTTCATGGCTCTCTTCCCCCATCTCCTTCCAAGGGGACCAGAGGGAAAGAAGAATCTGGACAATTCACTCTCCCACCTAGGGAAAGACTGATAATGAGGCGTTTTTTTCTAGGGCTGTTCAGGTCGGCCGGTGGCGGACCCGACAGAGTGGTGCCCCATGTGAGGACTTTTTTAAAACTTGTGGGTGAAAGGCGAGCGAGTGAGGCCCCCGGCTGCTCGGTCCTGAAAAAAGGTCGACGAAGGGTGATCAACCAGTGGAGTGGCCCCCGCAACCGCGGTAGTCGCTGTGAAGTAATCCGCCTGCGTGTCAGGGTGAGTACCATAACAGGGGGAAGTCCCTGCACTTCTCTGCCCTGTTGCTTCCCTTTGTCCCTTCCTCACAGGGCAACATGGGAGGTGTGTGTGTGGAAAGAGTTACAAGACAGCCTGCAAGGCTCTAAAGTACATGTTAAAAAGCAGAGGCCTAGAAATATCTGACGCGACAGCCTGCAAGGCTCTAAAGTTCTGGCCCGAGCATCAGGAAGGGGCAGAAAGGGATTGGGCGCAGTTTGATGAGGAGATGAAAAAGGAAACAAAGCTTCCAATGCAAGGCCCTGAGCCATTGAGTGATACCTATGCCCCTACCCTGTACCCTCCTCTCCCGGCATACTCACCCCACCAAAGTTTAGCCGAAGGAGAGAAAGTGGCACCTGAAGAAGTGGAGGAGGCTAGCCCGCCTTTAAAAACCCCCCCAGCAGAGCTGCAGGCTTTTCCTGTCATGGCTCGCTGGGAACCCCCAGCCATCCGCAGCCCATGGGGAGAAGCGGGCCTTCAGGCCTATCTGGTCAACGTTGTAAAAGAACTAAAAAAGGCTGTTGCCGAGGCCAGGACT